TGAGTTTATGACACTTTATAGGTGAGTTTAGTACGTAGAATTAGATAGAGATGAAAACGAAAAATTAATATTTTTTATTGTTAGCCCATTGCATCCACTGAGCTCGCTCCTTTTTTTTTTTTTTTCCTTTTTGGGTGACGTAAAATAGCATTGTCAAATTTCTCAGAGAACTTATAGCGTGTTTGATTGTGCTTAAAAAGGAACTTGTTTAGTTGTTTCATTTTTTGCACAATATATAGACTTCAGGTTTCATTCTCTTTAAGCTTCAATTTTACGTTCCAAGAAATGATTCTATAAAATATATGATTAAAATTCATATTTAACTTTGAAAAGTAAAATTTAAGGAAAAGTGAATGAAACCCAAACAAAGTCTAAGCACAGCAAAACATCTCTTATCTTTGTATCATGAAAAATTCCTTTGAATTTCTATTACCCATCTCAAAGTTTATTGTTCTGATGTATGCCTCCCTTGGTTTGTTGTTTTATCTCTATATGAAATTTCATTTTTCCTCTTTTTTTTATTTTATTTTATTTCATATTATTATTGATCTTGGTAGACTTCTGTATTTTAGGTCATGCATGTGCTTGGTTACAATATGTATATATAGCTATATAGGTTGAAAAAGGAAGACCTAAATAAGAATCTATGCTATATATCCATAGGATTAGGAGCTGCTTTATATATAATGAATGCTTATCTTAACTACTCTGTATGTACAAACTCCACACGATCATGCATAATGCTTCCCTTCTTCTTCAATTATTGTCGTGATCGTCGATATTAATTACAAAGACAGATATGTATTTTGTACATTTGTGTGCAGATCAGCTTGGCTTTAATATTTTTGCATAAAGCAGAGGGAAAAATGTGGATTTCGAACCGAAACTAGCTAGTAATTGGAACTAGAATTCGATGTGTGTTAATGGATTTCTGGTTTTTGTTCAAGAATATTGAATGACTGTTTGCCTGTGGTATTTTTATGACAATAGTGACATTTTATAAGGTTGAAATGTGTTTAAATTTGGAACTGTTTCAAATTCCTCCCCCAGTTTAGATAATCTATTGATTCACTAGAAATTGACTAAAAAATTCTAACTTCTATATAAAATCTCTCTTTCTTGTGAGTAGTCCAATCCTCCAAAACCACTAGATATGCCATCCCACTTCCACGTCGCTGCCACCACTACCTCCCTTCCACCACCACTCTATCCACAACGGCGTGGGGCAAATCTTTTACCTCCATTTTCAAGGAGTCGTACCTTTCTTCCTCCTCTATTCCTCCCATCTCTTGATTGAGGGATCCATATATAAAAGAACTACCCTCTTTAGGAATCAAAACACTCGTTTATTTGGTGGGTTAGTTTGCCAAAGGTCAAGGACAAAATCTTACATCGAGTAAAAGATGAAACGAATAAACAATATATAAGGCTTTGAGTTATTCGTATAAAAAAAAGATACTTTTAACATGGAAATTCACGCCTTAATATTGGATATGTGGAGCCTAATATATGGTACAATTTTTTTCTTGTAGTAGAGGGAGAACAGAACGCAAAGAACGTTGTGATTCTCTTCTTTGATATAATGTAATTTGACGGTGGCACTTGGTGCAATAGCTCTTACTGTGAGGTTGAAACACTTTATGTCGCTTGTTATTCTTACTTCAAGCAAGCTATCATCTTACGACGATATGTTAAGATAAACAAAATGAAACAAATAAATAATGTAGATGTTTATGATACTTCTCTTAATAAAGTAGACATATGAAGATTAAATACGAGTCCTAATGGTGGGATTGTGCTTTTGCTTAAGCAAACTTTACCAAAAACTCTCTTTTTACTTGGAACAGAGTTTGCTTAAGCGAAAGTTATCTCTGTCTAAGGCAAACAAAATTAAACATGAATAAGCTTAACATATTGTTCATTGGAACCTTCAATCTTGTTACTCTATATACGAACTTGATGATCGTATCATAGAAATCTTCATGAAGAACACCAACAACAAGAGAGTAATTGCACTAACATTTTTGGGAATCCCCTTGGGCGGATGAGCCAATTGCGAAGAGAATGAGTCCTTGTTGAAGTTTTGTCTAAGTAAAATCTACAAGTGTGAGAAGGTTGATGAAAATTTTGATCTTTGACAAGAAAATGTCCATGAAAATGCTGACAAAAAAAGTTGTGACAGGGGAAGAACCAATCTAGTTGACTGTTCTTGTTTGGACGAAATTATAAGTTTATGAAATTATAAATTAATAGATTAGTAGAAAAGTGATCAGTAGATGTGGATCCTACAAAAATGGGATTAAAATCACAGTTTTTGTTTGACCCTTATTATAAGAACAAGCCTTGGGCTGATTTAGAATTGCAATAAAATAATTTTCGATCCTATTTCTCGACACTAGTTTGTATTGTTCAGTATTTGAAGTGCACTCGGAATTTGACTATGAGAGAAATTTTATGATTGTAATGTAATTTTTGTTGTAAATAAAGTATTATTTGTGAATTACGATTATATTCCTGTCGTCCTAATTGTAATTTATTAGTGCGAGGCATTAATTCTCAATAAAATAGACACAAATCTATTGAATTTTCTATTTTTTCTCTTTTTCTATGCCTATTATAATCCTTAATTTTCCAGTGGTTTTAGGGCCAAGTAGTTCTCTTATATCTATTATTAGGGAAAAATTCATATTTAAGGTATATTATTTACACCATTTCAAAAGTGAGACAAAAAGTTTGAAAATTCAAAATTCAGATTTGTATTTAATTAATTAAAATTATTTATTAAATAAATATATTAAAGTCACAATTAAACAATTAATGATCACAAATTTCACAGATTTATTTACTAGTCACATATCATCAAATTAATTGGTCACAGATTATTTTGAGGTCACAAATCGAAAATTTTATAAGTCACATATTTTTTTAGTCATAGATTATCAAATTTTAAAGTTACGGACCAAATCGTTAATGTCACAAATTATTGTTTTTGCTAAGATCGTCAAATTTTCAAGGCACAGATCAAATCGCTGAGGTCACAAAATATTGTTTTAGTTACAAATGTCAAGTTTTAAAGTCACAGACCAAATTTTATGGTCACCCCCACCACCAGTCCCATCTAACACAAATCTTGATCACAAAACACCACCACCCAATCACCGCTTGCACCACACCCAATCCCAATCCAATTCTACCGCAACACATGGTTACAAACAATATCCATCACCACCATTGCACTCCTATCACGTCACAACAATCGGTCAACACCACAACACACTGCCTGAGCCACAACGGCACCACCACCTCCACTATACACCTTACTGCACCATAGCACCACCAACGCACACAGTTAAATTCGACAGCGCAGTGGATCTGCTTCACCGTTGTGAGCAGAGAGAAGAGGTGCTCACACGCTAGGCAAATGCAAAGGCTCATGCCTATCACCTCGCACAGCAGCGCTAGGTCGCTACTGCACATCGTGATAGCAGCGCCGCCATTGTAATCAACTTCGCTCGACGACCCTCACAGCACCACTTCTGTCACAGGCGGACGTCTTCTCCTTGCATAGGACATTTCCTCGGCGATGCTAG